AGGACTGTTCTGCTCCAGTGAATGGGATGCCTGTACTCAGGGTAGCTATGGCAAAGTATATTCAAGTAATGGAGTAATTTAACCAGTTACATCATCATGAAAGAGCTTTCATAGTTGAGATGAGAAACCTTGTACTTCATAAAGTCTGGAACGGAGCTGGCAACACTTAATTATTTAAAGTCACCCTTCTGCATTAATCTAAATATGAATAGATTATTGTGCTTTCTGTAGAAAAAGCACCTCTGTCCTCTAAAGTGCTTTGCAGAAATTCTGAGTCACAATAACCTTCTTGCCCAGAGTCCCACAAGGCATCAGCATCAGAGATGAGAATGAAGTCCAGAATCCCAGACTGTAACCTTTCCTGAACTGACTGGGGATCCATGCTTCCTCCCACGGAATTCTAACACATTATTCTACTGCTATAAAATCGCACTGAACTAAGAAAACAGGTAAAGGAATAAAAATAAATCATGGAAGTTTGGAGTGAAAAAATTGAACAAATGTGGTTTTATAATCCTCAGAACAAGAAGAAACTTGGTAGTTTGATGTCAGCTGACCAAAGGAGTCCTATGCTACTACTGCAAAATTAACAAGGGTTTAAACATATAATCAAGTTTAACAAGTTACTATGTTAGCACAAGCATGGGAAGACATTTCATAAGCCCACCTAGCCCATGACAAATGCAAACCAACTTGGCTTATCATGTTTCCCTTTCCTCTGGGACTAAACTGTTACACTTTTAGTGCAGAAAGAGACAAGCTGGTTTTGAAACTCTGTAGCACAGTAATTTGCTAAGTTGTGGCAGTTCGACTTTTTGTCAACCTCCCTAACTCTGCTAAGAACATAAGGCTAATGGGATAAGGGGAAGTAAAAAAGCATTTCCTTGCCAAATACTTTTTTAACAGGCTTGAAAATGATCGTGACAACCGTGTAAAAAGCTTTTCCACTGTTTGACCAGACCATCATCATTTCCAGTCCTATAGCCTGGTACTTCTCCACCTCTTCTTGTCTCCACTTACAATTACCACTCCTAATTGCACCTGCCTTTTTAGTTTACTTGGCACTAGCTGTATAAAAACATTAGCAGTGAATGATTAGCAGATATAAGACCATTACTATAACTATGCTTTAGGTAGACATTCAGGGGATGGAATCTAAAACAACAGAAGTCTTTCTAGCCACAGAACTCCTAAGTATCTGGCCTGTAAGCAAACAACCTTTGTGCTTTAGGAGACTTGACCTCTGGAGGTGGGACAGCAATGGCTTTCTAGAATGCTTCCGCTGAGAATTTTGGTTGGTGAGGCAGTTTGTAGCCAGCGCTCCTGACCACAAGACCTTTTGTAGTTGTAATGCAAATGGGACATACCCTACCCTTCATATTGATCGCTCTGAACTTCAGCGGAGATACAGGCATATAGCTAAACTCTATTTTGATGCTTTTTAAGCCCACTTCAGATTTTTAACCAACTTTGCTATCACTAGGACTTTAAGGATGTGCCCAGAGGCTTTGCTAAATAGGGCCTTTTGGCTTATCATCAAATTAAGGGAAAACATGCTGTAACCCACTCACCTGACTCAGTCACAGCTGTAGTGTATGATACTAATCTCCACATTTATTAAACACATGCTCCCTCTGGAGCTGGAGATGATACACTAACATCTGGTTTATTCTGGTTTCTTTTTAAGTCATGAGGAAACAAACACAAACGTGCCTCTTCTATGCAGTTGCAATGAAGATGTACTAAGATAAACAACTGTTAAGTTCTCCGTATCTTTTACAATCTGTTCTCCCTCCCATTCTCTCTTCCCATTGTTGCCATCATTTCTGTGAGTAAGCTAGTACTGAAATCTGACTCAGCAAAGGGAAATTAAGTTTTATGCAAAAATAAATGAGGCAAGTTGTACTGGGCATAGTATCCTCCCAAAAGATACTGAGACTAAACATAAGAAATAAGTAGGCCTGTAATGAAGATAGTGAAATGAAGCAAATACTGGGAAATGAGGGTTTGCCCTGACTGTAATGTCAGCCTGGCCTCCCATTGGTATAAAATTCATATTTCTCGTGGATCATTAATCCTTTTTGTCCATAGGAAATAATAAGAACACTTCTAGATGGCAAGCAAACATGTCATTTGGGACACAAGGATGATATTAAAAGCCCCTACCATGAAATCCAGTGTGGCTTTTAACCACAGCTTGTGGGTAGGAGCACAGTGGTACAATACTCCCCTGAAACACTGGGACAGGCACAGCACATCTCTGGAAGCCAAGGAGATTCATACAGCAGCCAACAATTTTAAGGACAGTACCTCATATCAGAAGACACCTTTCCCTTGGCTGGTTAGTGCAAAAAGGGATGACATATTCCTTCCTCTGCTCAACCCCCAAGAGAATATCCAATGCCCTTTTTCAACTCTGAAACTAGCACATCACTTGATAGTGCTGATGAGCTCAAAGCCCGTGATCAGCACCAGCCTTGCTGATGGCCGAGGCAAGTGAGCTGGGCCTGCAGACAGGGCATTGCTTAGGCTTGGTACTGCTCCCTCCATTCCAAATCATTCCAAATCATCCCAACTCCAAGTACATCCTAAGCACCTTGCAATGCTTATCCCCTTTTCCCAAGGCATTTGAAAACAGGAGGGAAAAGGTGGCAGTGAACTGCATGGACGACCTTGTGGTTGATTGTTTTAGACTGGCTCAGTCCTTGAAGAGACTTTAGGTAATGTCAAGGACACCGAGATTGTGTGACTGCACATGCATTTTTCAGAGACAGAAAAGTAATCCCACTGCAATTAATGGATCTTATTATGCTCAAAGTCAACAAGCTTGCTAAAGGGCTTTGGCAAGTCAGCGCCTTTGTGTTTGGATTGCAATGCTGGCTGTGTGGTGTGCCTTTGTCCACTTTAGCCTTGTTTACCAACAGAGGTATAGACACAATCTAGCTCTAGGCACTATTCTGGCTAAATATGTTGATGCGTATTTTTGTGTTCCAGCAGTTTCTGTAGCAGTGCTTACAAGTGAGACAGATGAAAGTGAGTAAACACAGATATTAAAAAAGCCATTTACTTTCTCACCATGCATGTTTACTATTTGCAGCTCGGTCACCTCTGACAACTGAAAGAGATCATTTAATCTCATTTCCTTCCTCCAGCATACCCATCCAATGTATTTCTGGGGGGGATCATGGCACTACAGTGTAATGTTTGCTATTATTATAAATTGGTACTTTATTTTTGAAAAGCTACAAACCCTTTGTTCATAAAACACTTTGTAATCACCATTGGTCTATTTGGTAGGTTGTTTATTTTTTTCAGATCTAAAATAATTTGAAAATGTTGCTTCAGATTAAACATCCATGTCCTATATTGACATTTTCTTTGTAAACAAGTTAACACTAATGTATTACTCCCATGCATATTTATTAAGTGCATACAGCAGTCAACCTTCAAATCCACTCCCCCAGTCCTTCCGGCAAACTAGGAATCCTCTTTGCCATAAAAACTTACCCTTTTCCCTCAATAAATCTATTCCTTAGAAGAAACTTTTGCCTTTGGAGTCTCATTTTTCATTTATTTCATTAGTTCCCATCTCAGATAACTAAATTCTCTTTTATTACAGCTGGGAATTTTTATAATGTGCAAATTGAAATAATGATTGTATCACAGTACTCTGCAAGTGGTTTTCATTAAGCCTCCAGCTACTATTCCTTGCTCTGCTGGATATCTTTGTGTCAGGGTTACTTTACGCTGGACAGAAATTTGAACAATTTATGTTGAAAAGAATGACTAAAAACTATTAGATAACAACCTTTAAAATGCCCTGGTTGATAGAGCTTAATTGTATGTTCTTGTCATAATCAAAATACCTCAATCACTTGAAACCTAGTAGTCATGCTAATAAGTGGACCTGTGAATATATTCCAGAGATTCACACTTCTGAAAACCAATATTACTACTTACTGTCTTTACAACTCTGTGTAAGCAGACACTCAGTGCCAGAAATACATTTACATTTCTGAGATGCTACGCTACAACGTTCTGCTTTGTCAACAGAGTGGCTAAATTCATACTCGGTGTTCAAGTAGGATTTTCTGGTTAATTTTAGTGACTTAAAATAGTTCAGAACCATTTGTGTGACTTGTTGAAATTTACAGCGTGCTTACATTGTTCATCACCAGACTCATCTTGCTACTTTGTCATTCTGTATTGCCTGTTGGTAAATGAGTTTGCTAGCATATATTCCCATTGCTGCCAGGGTCACCAGAAGTCTGAATGAACACATAAAGAGTCCACTTAATTGCAAAGATTTATAGCTATGCTGTTTTCTTTTCTCCCTTTCCACTCAAACTTGTCTTCCATGTCTGACATGTATAGAAAAGGGAGAGGTGCTTATTCTAGTCAAAATCAGCAGCAGACAAGGATCACAGTTTTGGAAGGATTCCTTATTTCTACTGCTAGTGCATAGGCAACAGAGAAGCAGTTTTCTAATCCACCCTAGACAGGGTAGTGAACCAAAGAAAAATGCTGTGTCAATATAATATCAGCCATCATCAGTCTGCAATGAAGCAATGAGTTACATGACTAGCAAAAAAACCATAACCTGTATAAATTCCAGAAGCAACAAGCTGTTCATTTTGATTTAAGATACCATGCTCTCCAAGGTGAAAGACAGGTGACCTATTATACAATAAACAGATGAGAAATTTTTAAGTCTTGGAAACTCACAAGCAGAAAATTGCCATTTGAAAATCTGCCTCTGTCTGCCCAAAAAGCCTGCTGTTTGAACCAAGTATAATTTCTATGTCAGACTAAAGCCTTTTCCCCTGTCTTATTTACGGCTCTGCTACAAGTTTGGGTAGCAGAGAAATCAATCCATTCCAACCAACGAGTGAAATGATTTTGGGAGCTCTGTGGATAAAAAAAATCCTCCCAAACAGTTTCTGCATTTCTGACTGAACACAGTTATTCTAAAGAGCACAATTTACACACTGAAAACTTACCAATGGAGCGATGAATGCAGGTATGCTGGTTATCACTCAGAAAAAAGCCCTCTTTGCATTGACATTCATAGCTGCCCATAGTATTTACACAAATCTGCTGGCACCCTCCATTGTTATCCTGACACTCATCAACATCTAGAAGAGAGAAGGAAAAAGAAATGCAAGATGATGTACAGATTAAGAATATACATCTAGAAGAGCACGGAATCCACGAAAAGGCACACTGTAAATTAAGCTAATGAAAACTACCCAAACCCCATCAGAGTTAATCCAAATTAATCCATCTTTTTCCTGCATCCTAGGTTTAAAGTTAACATAAAAAAACAGTGGGGAGGGAAGTCCAGCTAAGTCTCCATGCATTCTGAGCTGCAAATTGATTTCCAATGCCCAATGAATGTTAACGTCCTAAAAAGGCTGTGACCCCATCTGCCAAGTGTGGTGTTGCACTCTGTCATTCCCACTCCACTTGGAAAGACATACTTCAGGCCTACAGTAATTTCTAGCAGGGGTAGCAGGCAAACACAAAGGGCATTACTGGGTGAAAAGAGTCTTTATAGAGTTCTGGTCTTGAACAGAACAGCATGTTTCAATTACTGGAGTCATAACCCCCTACTTTGTCAGTTTGTTTAATGTTGTTTAATGAAAAGAAGGCTTCTTAAATCTAAATGTTCCATGTCTGTATTGTCATTTTAATAGGCAAATATATAAAACCACAAAGGCAGCATTAGCTACTGGCTGTTTTGAGGGTCCCTGCCTACCCCCCATCACTTCTATTTGGCATAAAAGTTTTTATGCTGCTGTGTTAGGAGAGATGTATGTTTTAGCATCGGGAAACCACTGCCACTAAAAGATATCTGATCCACATTCAACCTTGCAACTCTCCCATTTTGCTCATAAAAGGTATATCATATCCATTTTCTGTTTCTTCTTTGGATAAAAGCAACCCACCACCTGAAAAATCCATGTTTTCCTTTTTATGGAGACTCTGCAACCAGTTATTTCACAGTATGTGCCAACATGTCAGCAAATGAGTTGGTGTGTGTTTTGCTTTCATTTTATTTTTGGAGGGGAGAAAAAACACAACAAAGCTAAATGATCCACAACATTCAAAACCTTAGAAGAGCTGGCACAGCTCCTGCAGAAATTAATTCCACCAGGACTGGCCACAATACACTAAGGTAAAAGCAAGCTGCTTTTGCCAGTACTCTTGCAGGCAAGGCCAGGAAGCTCTGAAATGCTGCAGAAACTCAGCCAGTAACTAATGCAGGAACACCAGCTAGTTCAGCAGCTTGCTTGGCTGAGCTTGCTATCACTATTTGTGCTGGTGTGCTGCCTGTGCTTCATGTGACAGAAACTGTAGCTCTTCCTCACAGAGTAAAAAAACTACGGTAATTACAGCAGTACCCAGGGAAACCAGACAGTCTCCTCCTGTCTTGAACTACAATGCAAGTGTGTAGACAGTCCTTCTCCATTTTTTATTTACCAGGAAGTGTGAAGTACTATTGCCTCAAATTTTCTGCATCAAAATCCTCCCTGCCCTCAGTTCTTACTCTTTTCTGGATTTGAACCTTTTCATAACCCCATCTGAGCAATTTGGGAACACACAGGAAAAGGAGAAGTGAAGATTTTCCTTGCCTACTGCAGTATAAGATGGAAAGATTCAAGTAAGCCAAATTTGTGAGACCTTCCTCTGTGAGCCAGCAGGCCTCACTGTCCTATTAGTGCCAACTGAAACGTGTTCCTTCAAAACAGCACGCTGGAATCTAGATCCTGCTCGCTGGAAGATTAGTTGACTGGTTACTGAAGGAAAAAGTCTCAGTTGGTACATGTGCAAATCCCAAAATTTTGCTATAAAGTACATGGCCTTCCCAGAGCTCTGTTTATAGTATCACAAAGCAACTTGAACAATTGCCTTCCAGCTCTGATGAATAATCTGAAACAAATGCAATGATTAATAAACATTTGATAGCAAATGCTGGTGATTTGCCACTTCCATAAAGAGACAGCTCAATTTACCATCAATCCCCAAATCCATATGCTGGAATAAAAGTTATTACAACTTAAACTCTTTAAAAAGTTTTACCATGAGGAATTTCTTCCAATTGTTTTCAATTACTTGCCTCAAAATTACTTTAATATGCATTTATGAAGAGGAGTTGAAGAAAGGGAGCAGCTGGGATCTAGGACTACTATATCACTATCTCCATACTACATGCCTTCCAATAAAACTTGGCTTCGTGTTGTAGGATTAACATTTTCTCTTCTCAGGCCTCAACCCTACTAGGGTCAGGCTTTTTGGAGCACTTTGTATTCCTGCAGTCTTAAAAGGCAGTATTGCTTATTATCCACCACACCAAGCAGTCTATTGGACATGGCTGCCTGGAAAATATTTACTGAACTATTTACTTGACAAACTTTCTTTCCAATAAAGTCACTCTATGGTCAGCCTATTACTAACCCAGTTTAGAGAATGGGGTAAAAAAAGTCTTCTCAAGTTAGGAGAGAGAACTCCATCAACTCCAATGAGCTCAAGCTTCAGTAGATCTGGCAGAATAATTCCTTCACGTATCTGAACTTTTTCAAAGCTCACAAATGAAATAGCTGCCAAAGGGGCTTTTTCTTTCTTTCATTGTTTGTGCAACTCTCATTCAATGCAGCTCAAGTTACCCAGCTGAACATGTAAACATCAGTAATGCAGCATATGTGAGACTGCATTTTGGACCAGATTTTCTAGAGATTAAGTTCCACATAAACACCAAAATAAGTAGCCAGGTTTTCAATAAAGCTCTTCTGGCTCCAGTTTTGGAGGCTCCACATGTCCAACTGGGCGGTTGACTGTTTTGAAAAACTGAGGGTGGATCCTCAGGAGCTTTAAATGTTGCCACTCTGTGTGACAGTTTACACCTGCTGGAGACCTGCACCCCAGGGCCTAACTCTAGACATAGGAAAAAGGTCACTTATGATGTAAAATCCCTTCATGCAAACATCTCCTCTAAGCCCCAGCTAAACCCATTCTAAAAACTTTTAAATTTATTGAGCACAAATACAAAGCTCACTTGCTTTATTACTCTACTCTTTATAAAAAGGAATATTTTTTTTTTAGAGCAGACAGACATGTCTTCTTTGGCAACCTTTTGCACAAAATCAGCCACCACCAGTCACCTTATCCAGGAGCAGGGCTGTCTCCCTGAGGATGGCAGCCCCAAGACAGCAGGTGCAGGTCTCCTTTCCTTTAAACTGTTTCATGGAAACTCAAATCCATTTCCTAGGCTCCTTGTCTGGCAAAAGTTCTTTCATCCAGCTTGGCCTCACCACCTGACAGTGTGATAATTCCTAGAATACATTATCCACTGCTTACAGGAGAGCTGAGCCTCAAAATCCTACCCATGATCCCAGGGTGGAAGCTGGAGCAAGGTTTCAGCAAACCTACACAATCCAAACTCACAAAAGGATGGAAAAATGTTCTCGCCTGAGCTGAGCTCAGATGGTTATCCCACGTGGCTGCTCCAACCCTCACCCTCAAAAAGAGGAGGAAAAACTAGGAGAAAGTGAATATATGTCCTTAAGCCATTCTCTGTAACACTCATCACAAAGAACTGTCCTGTGATTACATCTACCAAAGACAATCCCTGATGGAAGCACCTAGAAATAACTCCGTTTCCACAGCCCTTAACTACTCCTTACCAGCACAAACAAACAGCTAAGATGACAATCAGCACAAGAGCTAGAATTGCTTATACAGAGTTTAGGCCAGAGTGACAAACCTATGTTTCCAGGGTGATGAGGGCCTGGACTTCAAATTGGCCAGTCATCATCAAGGACAACAAGAAATAAGGGAAGAGCCAGCTCAGGGAGAGGCTGGGAAAGGAGAAGTATCTTTCAAAAGAGAAGGAGTGATAATGGATGCATATATACATACATATATAGATATATCTATAGATCAGAAGTATTATGCAAATTAATGCATATCTGAATTTGCATAAGACCTCTAGCTTTTTGGCCCACTGCCTTCACATAATCAAATCTGTGTTCTGTATCTTGGTAAGATGAGAACCTCTAGAGAGCAGTAGTGTGGAACAGTATCAAAGGGTAGGAAACACTAAAGTTGATGAAGATGGACGTTTTATTTATTAAATAAACAAATGCTTTCAGTTTATCATTTAATTTATCTGATGAACTTTTCAAACTAGCTCCACTGGTATTTCACCCTGATCTGGCTCAGAGCTTGCTGCAGTATTTGGCCTAACGAAGCTATTCTGATTGAGTGCCCTGTTTGGGTACCACCGAGGCAGAAAGGTTTGCTAAGGGTACCTGAAACCAAAACCACAAGCAGGAAGACACAAAAGTAGAAACACTACACAGAGTCAATGTCAAGAACAGTATGTCCACTGTCCACTTCCTCCCATGATCTTCTCTTCCTTCTGACATTTTTCTTTCATGTCAGCATTTTCATAAGCACTTAAGCCCCTCGGAAACCTGAGTCTCATCTTCAAAGTCTCCAAAGCAGTTGGGAGTCACAGTACAATTCACTTACTATAGCATTAAGGTTATTTGAAGACTTCTAAAACCAGGACTTTGATTCATGATCCAGAAAGCTGATCCTGCTAGTTTTTCTCTAAGCTACTCCTTGAAACTTTTCAAAGATTTCTCTAAGATGTCTATTTTACCAGTGCAGAACATCGTGGTAGAGAGATGAACTACTGATAGCAATACTGTAGAACTTTCTCAAATGTTAGCAACAAACCACCCCTGAGGTATCTTGTATTTGTAAGAGAAATGATTAGCAACTGCAAACTCAGAAAATGCAAGTGCCTGATTCTGGAATTTTAAAATCATTATATTCTGAATATTTCTAGTCAGAAAGCAGGCTAAAAGTCCTATTAAAAAAATCACATTCCTGGATTTACTATAGTCATAGTTATTCTTATACCAAAAGAACATCTAGCCCAGCATCCTCTCTTTGCCACTGCCCTGCAGTTGGTACTTAGGAGAAGACTGTAGAGATGGGACAGAACCACTGCTGGCATGCTCTCCCAGCTTTCAGCAATCACATACCTATTGACCTTCCTAAATCACTTGCTAGACCATTGTCCTGCTGGATCTTTCCTGTATGAATTTGTCTAATCTCTTCTGAA